TGGATCCCACGTCTGCAAAGAAGAAACAAAACAGTCGATGGTACAAATGCATCTACTTACAACCAAGCGTCTTACATCGTGAAACATAAACTTTAATGCACCCTCATATTGGGCTATGCTTTAAACCATTTCTATAACCTCACAGTAACATTACTACATCAGCAACACCACTTAAAGTTGTCTGATACCTGGCCGTGTCTGCTCCGTTGGTCATCAGAGTGCTGATCAGCAGTTCATGGCCGTACTTAGCAGCAACGTGGAGAGGGGTATTGCCATACTTATCCACACAATCAATTTCCCCACCTGACGGAAATCAGAGTACAGGGAGTAAATCAAAGACCCATTAACAGAAGAGAAAGAGACAGTGACATGATCTTATAATAAAATAAAAATAAATATGAGACCGGACACTCTGTGTTACCATTTTGGATGAGGATCTGAGAGCGTGTAAAGCGTCCGTGAATGGCTGCCATGTGCAGGGGGCTCTTCCCTTCTTTGCTCTGCAGGGGGTAACAATCACATTTCAGGGTAGATCTTATGCATGGGGGGCATTTTTGCCTTTTTAGATAGTGGAGCAGTGAAGATAGACAGAAAAGTAGAGAGCAAGAGAGAAAGAGGGAAGACAGCCCAGACGTAAACCTGGGCCGGTGCACTCTGGCACTAGGATAAAGGCACCTATAGATTTTCGTTTGATAATTTTCTTCAACAAAAATGTGCAGTAATATTCTTATTAAGGCACTGTAAACTAGAAACTGAGAAATCATAAATGGTAAATGAAACCTTGGGACCTGGATTTCGTTTGGTTCTTTTTTTTCTTAATATTTGTATATGTTGTCAGAATGGCCAAAGGATCGAATAATCTGATCAACCCATCTACAACTATTCCAACTCTGACTCTTGCAAAGCTGCCCTAAATAAAAATGTGGAGTTTCACTACTTTCAGAAGCAGTGAAATAAAGTAAACAAGAAGAAGAACCAAAACAGCTACCTGCTGGTTGACATCTGCCCCATTGTTGACCAGCAACTCCAGACAGAGGGCACCGTTGGTGGAGACGGCAGCCAGGTGCAGAGGGGTGTAGCCACACTTGTTGGGTTGGTTAACATTAGCTCCATGGTTCACCAGCTCTGTAGCCACAGCTTCTTGCCCCATGTAGCAAGCCACATGAAGCGCAGTGTTTCCAAAGCCATTGGGCTCATCAATCTGACAATAAAACAGAACAAAACGACATCAGAATGTGCCAAAAGCCTGAAAAATAAATAAAGTGCACCCTGAGCTGCTCTCAGACGCTCACAATTTATAAACCAGACATGAGGGAAGACTACTTTGGCTTTTCTAAAGGTAAATATATCTTGCATAGTTACTCACATCTGCCCCCATCCTAAGCAGGTACTTTACAATTTCAATGTGACCACTTGCAGCAGCAGCATGGAGAGGTGTGTAGCCCTGTTTGTCCTTGCAGCTCTTGTCAGCACTGCGTGACACCAGTAACTTCACAACCTCTAGATGCCCTGTGGATAATACAAGAAAGACACAATTCATTACAAGTTCTACTTATTTCAACAGATTAAAAGCCCAGGCCGGCACTTGTCATCATTCCTGTAAGTGCTATTTGGCAAGAAAAGTAAAACTTGCTTACCCAGGTAAGCAGCACAGTGGATAGGCTGTCTCTCCTTCTTATCGATGGCACTCAGGTTGGACCCTTTGTTCAGCAGCAGCTTAACCATCTGCAAGACAAATTGAAGGAACTTTATTGCAAAGAAAACACTATGTCCTTCAAAAACAAAGCAAATCACTTAAGCCTCACCTCCTGGAAACCACTCTGCGCCGCATGGTGCAGGGCAGTCCTGCCACTGCGATCTGCCATGTTCACGTTGCTCAGCTGGGTCAGCAGGGCCTCTGCGCAGCGCGAGGCACGGTTGGCAGCAGCCACATGCAGAGGCGTCTGCCAGAACTTGTCACGTGCATTTGCGTCAGCTCCGCGCCTCAGCAGCAGACCCACTGCCCTCTGGGAAGAGGGAAGCAATCACCACAGCTTAAGGTGCATATCACATCTGCAGCTTCCCACATTTAATTTAGTGCAGTTCATGAGTGTGTAAGTCTAAATAAGAATTATAATCTCTGTAAATTAATACATAAAAGACTTAGATGATGAGGTCATCTGACTGGGAAATCATCAGTCTTAAACGAAAAAAAGGAAATACATTGCTTACGTCATTCCTGGAAGCAGCTGCCCTGTGCAAGGGGGTCAACCATATATGGTCTTTAGCATTTACACTGGCACCTGTGATACAGAAACAGAAACACTATTACATACTATATTACATAGTAGATTTTAATTATATTTCAGGTGATACAGAGGTCGAGTGAACCAAGAATGAGCAAGCTTATTTTTGTGGAACAATGGTCAGGTGTTAGGATTACTTGCTAACAGAGGTGACCAATAGTTAATGCACAGATAGATGGACGCAATTCAGTCACCTGATTCAATGAGGAGGTCCATTATATGGACGTCTCCCACACAGGCAGCAGCATGAAGTGGCGTACGACGCTCTTGGTCCTGATATGCGGGGGGGAAAAAATTAAAAGGTATTTTTTTGGGGGTAACGTCCTTCAAAATCATGATCATGGTAACTGAATCTGCTTCATACCAGTGCATTGACATCCTCCTTTTTGTGCAATAATAGTTGAACTTCTTCAGCATTGCGACTGAAGATGGCCTGGACCAGAGGAGGCTGCAATACAGGAACATCAGTCAAATTACGTTGCAAATAACGTTGCAAAAAAATTACGTGCTGACCATCACACATCATCTACGTCTCATCTGAGGAGGTTAAACCATCGTTAAAGCCGTCAACTGCGCAGTGGAGAGGTTAAATGTACTCCCGTGACATTAAATGTTTCACTGAATATTTTTACTGTGTGTAACTGAATGGGTTTCTTGTTTGCTTCCAGCAGATACACCAAGCCTTTGGCTGAGGCCTATAGGCCATTTTTACTTACGTCAGCTAGCCAAATGGCTTCTGTTAGCTAATTCTGCAACAGAGCTGGCCCTGACCCAGACCAGGGCCTAAACTACACCATCAAAAAAATTAAAAAGTAAAACAAAAAAAACCCTCACAGATTAACATTTAAAAGACGAAGATTGCTAATCTTTTCAAATAATACCATTACCATGCGAATATCCGGCTAAATATGCATGCACCCGCCGCGAGCTAATAATGAAAGCAAGCCGTTCGGCGGAGAAGACGTAGTATGTTGCGCACAAGAGCAGAGTCTCTCCCAGCAAATAGACTGCGCCACAGCACAAATTCGGAGCGCTTTCTTCCAGCGTACCTGGTCTGCAATATTGAGTACTCCCATCTCCCAAACTCAGCCAGGACGGAGCTCCTTCATGAGGATAAAACTTCGAGGTATATTGTGGTGCGCTACTGTGTCCTCTTCTTAGACTACACCCATAGCTGATTGCAAACAGAAATACGGTCTCGGTCTGTCACTGTTGTTGTCTGTATCCAGTGTCTGGTCTGCTGATACTGGCTACGACTGTGCGGGTCCGCCTACAGGCGTGGCGGTCTGTTTTCGTCTCCTCGGATAAAATGGCGACACCGTGCGGCAAAAGAACGGTAAAACAGTCCGGCGGTGTGACGTCTGTGGCATGGAAACTTGATTCTGCCACCGAAAAAAAATGTTTTTAAACTTGGAACCTACAAGTTAAAATTTCGGTTAACTTACTCAGTAAGTCGAAATTTCGACTTAGCTCTGCATGACAAAAGAAAAAAAAATACAACCACTGAAAAACAAAAAAGTTCCACTAATTTCAGGTTATTTCAAACTTTTGACTTAAGAACTCAAAATTTAAAGTAAATTTCTCAATTGTGAGTTATTTTGAAATAGTAGCCAACTCTTTATGATAAATAAATAACCTGACATTTTGAGATATTATCCCAAAATTTTGAATTATGGATGGTAAAAGTGTTCTATTTTGGGGGGTTTGGGGGATTTTTTATTCAACGGTTGAAGAAAACCCCCCAAAACACCATCTGTGGTGGTTACAGTTTAAATACAATAACACTTTATCGCATTGATTAGTCATGTATTCCCTTTTCTATCACTATAACTTAAAACATTAATTCCATCATATTGTTCTGCCCGCTAACTGGCTTTTGGCTGTCACTGCAGAGCCATATCCATGCAAATCTCCATTTCAGTTAAAGGGAGTTCTACTTTTTGTAAAACAAGAGCCAATAAAAAGTACGACATCTCCATTTCCATGTGTGAGAGTGAAACTGAAGTGAAAAATCACAGATGAAAAAAAGTAATGTAGGCCTTGGGTGTAATAATTAAGATCAAGTTAAATATCCAGATTTGCTGGATATTCGTCCAGGCTACAATGGTAAACAGTAAAATAAGCCTAGAAATTATTGACTGTTATTTTTTATTTAGCTTGAGGACCTTTGTTTTTAAACGTGATCTATCTCCCCTCTGTTATCGTTCTCGCCTTCACTGCCTCTGTTCCTTGCAGCTTCACTGTTACTGTCTCTATCGCATTCACACACTGTGTTCTGTCTTCTACTGACTTTCATTCTCTCCAGTGCTACTCTCCATCCGCTTCCTACTCACACTACAGATGTCTTCCACAAACAACATATTCCACGGAAGACTGGAGATTCCTCCCTGACCTCATCTGTCAACCTGTCCATCACCAATGCAAAAAAGAAAGATCTCAGAACCCCACCCCCACTTTCATCCTATCTGCCACTCCTACCACACACAACAAACAACACTTGAACCCTGTTTATACAGTCTCACGGCATTTTGTTCAGGATATATATATATATATATATATATATATATATATATATATATATATATATTTTGTTATACTAATATAAAAGTGCTTTCGTAAGTTAAGTAAAATAAAACAAAATAAAAATATTTTTTCCCCGCCGTTAACCTCCTGTAGAGTAGGGGGCGGCATTTCTTCTCAGAGCTATTGGGCAGAATCGATGACAGAAGAAAGGAACAATTTGTCCCACCGGCGTTTTATTTAGCAGCAGAAGGTCGTTCGCAGCTGGCAGCAGTTTGGCAATATTTATAGCCAGAAAGTGACGTAAATAATTTAACTTTGTTTGAAGTTTGGAACTCGACGCGTGGAGTAATGTGAGTATTACGTAAAAAAAAACAAAAAACAGCGGAACGTAACCATACGTCGTGATTGGTTGGGCTGTTGGAAATCTTGCTAGCTAACGTTAGCAGCTGACTGCCGTAACTAACGATAGTTACGCTCGCAGTTCGGAAAGCGGCTGTGCTAACGCTACTTGTTCATTAATATACCCGCACCGAAGCAGCGTGCAGGTTGGACTGGACCCTTGAATCTCTGTGCCCTCGGTCTTAAAGCAGACCCCGGGCTAGCTCGACAGACCCAGCATCTCCCTCTCTTGAAGCGGAGAGGCTGACTTGATGGCAGCCTCGACCGGTGCCCGGAGATTACCCATGGGTGTTCGGACGTTCAGTGACTTTCTCCAGATCGCCACTGTGGGATCCCCTCGCTCGTGTCGCACGGCGGTGCAAAGAGGATGCCTGCGACAAAACATCAGGTGAGCCCGTCGGGGAGTTACTGGAGGCTGTTATTATTATGGTTAACGGCACCGAGCTGGTCATTCAGTACAGAGGAACTGACGCTCTGCCGCCACTGAGGGCGGACGATATATAACGAGAAGGTCACTAGATAATGTTATCAAGCTCCATAATTCTGGTTTCTTATCTTTAAAGTGTGACCAGCCTCCATTTGAGAAGCAACTGCTGATTAGTGTAACAGAACTACCAATAACTAGAACTGTCTCACCAGGTAAAGGCAGCTGTTAACAACTGCCTTCGACATGGGTTCTGCAGTCCAGTCTTCTTTAATGTTTTTGTAGAATACATACATAAACATAAATGAAAACAAGCAAGTTAATCGTTATAATTGTGCCATGTTGCTGGTGAAAACAAATTACAAGAAGCTAACTTGATAAAGAAGGATATTAACTACGTTTGCACTGTTGTATTGACTTCACATAACTGTAAAATCACAACTATAAACCACTCAACTTTGTTCTTTCATGCATGAAATATAAACATTACAGAATACCCACAGTTATTTTATTCCATAAGTAAACTGCTGAAAGTAAGAGCTGAAGAATGGTGTAAAAAATTGGGGGGGGCTTATCCATAATGGATAACATGTTTCCAAAATGTGGAGAACAGTTTCCAAAACAGCCTGTTTGTGGTAGCAGTGAATAATATGATGCATTGACTTAATGAATGAATGTTTTCATGTTTTGGGAAGCACACACACACATAATCACTTGCATTAACTAGTGATCAGAATCAGAATCAGAATACTTTATTGATCCCTGGGGGAAATTATTTTTTGTTACAGTGCTCCATTTTAAACCAACATTAAGACAAGACAGACAATACACTAACTAAGAATAGTATAATATATACATATATATATATATACATACATAAGTCACTCATAAATAAATAGTCTGATCACCCTGATCACAACCCATTTGATCAGGTTGACCTTGATCGAGGTAAACGTTGTGTTAATGGGTCTTTAGATGAAAGAATAAAAGAAATCACTGCTTCACTGCTGTTTAACTTGATTCCAACAAATGGCAAACAAATTCTCTCATAACCTATGATGTCTTATGGTAAAGTTATATAAAAACTTGAAAACTGGTGCTTCATTTAAGTGGAATATTTTATTCACAAGGATCTAATGTTTTGTGTCATAATTTGATACAGCAATATTTTAATTTGCTTATTTAGTTTGATCCTTGACTCTCAGTATGAGGAAAAAATGTTGCTCACCCCTATCCTACAGGCTACCTTCCAGAAAGCACAAAGCTAATTTGTTCAACCAGAGCAGGTAGGTGTCACCTTACAGCTTTTTGCTATTCACAAAAAAAGACCAGACGTGGAAAATACCAGCATGCTCTCAACACTGACCTTTCATAACTCTCTGGTCCATCCATGCACTCACTGACTGTTGAAACTGGAAAGCAGTGGACCTATTTTGTTGCAGACTGCACTCTTTCTAGATAGGGGCTTATGGCACATCACTTCAACACAGATTCTAATTACCTTTCCAGACACTTGTCGTCATGTGGCATTTTGATGACAAGAAGTCCCAGGGTGCTTTGCCTTCAAGATTGTGACACAATGACAGCGGTTTCCCAAAGCAGAAGCTTCATCAGCCTCACCAACAAAAGGAAGGAGTACTCTGAACGTAGAATACTTGGGTAAGTATTGATGAGCCTTTTTATAATCATAAATTTGATCATTAATACAAAAAATTAATTAAAAGGATATTCCTGTTACAGGTATTCTATGCAGGAAATGTATGATGTTGTGGCCAACGTTGACGAGTACAAGCACTTTGTGCCTTGGTGTAAGAAGTCCCAGACCATCATGAAAAGAGCAGGTCACTCCAAAGCCCAGCTTGAAGTGGGATTTCCTCCAGTAGTGGAAAGATACACATCTATGATCACTAATGTTAGACCTCATCTAGTCAAAGTAAGTAATGGTAGAGAAATATTATCCCAGTCTTTTTGAATTGTGATATGTGATTTTTAATGCTCCATCTGTTGCTAGAATTTGTTTATATAGAAACGATATGACTGAAACACAATTTCTGTGTTTTACAACTTTTAATTATTGTCTTTGTTTTTGTTATTTGTAGGCAGTGTGTACAGATGGAAAGCTCTTCAATCACCTGGAGACGATATGGCGCTTTAGTCCTGGCATTCCCGGTTACCCTCGTACCTGCACCGTAGACTTTTCTGTAAGTAGCCTGTGCCTCACTTTAGCCTGTAGCTCACTTTAACTGCTTGTGTGTACTAAACACCACATGGGATAGATGATACATCAGAAGACTGATATCATTAAAGTCTGTATTCATGCTCATTAGTTAATGGGTTTTTTTTATGCTGTGAAAAAGCACAAATGTAAAAATTACACTTTGTGGTTTTATGAGTGGTTACGTGTGGTTTTTCCTTCATCTACAGTGAACAAGATGAAGGAAGAGAGACCACCCGTGGAAGTGTTTCCCAAACATTTGATTTACTTGTGTCAGCCTCCTAGGTTTAACAGCAGCTACCCAATTATATCGCACTTTTTCTTTATATCTATTCAAGAGATGATTTACTGTTTGGTTGGCAGTCTCCAACTTCTTATTTTAAAAGGTCAGTTGCTTCTTATCAGCAGCTCCTGCCCCCTTCCTGTCTAATTTGTTCATTTTGGCTGAAGACTAGCAGTGGCCACTATCGTTTCACTCTCTCTAAAGGGTTTGTTGTCCTGTGGTCAGACTCCAGCTCCACCCTCTTTAACTGCAAGTTAAAGGAAATGCCACCAGAACAAGATCTATTTCTGCAGGAAACCTTTCAGTCAGGTGTTTGTTTGTTTTTTTTTTGTTGTGTTTTTGTTTTTTGTTTTAAACCATCAGACTGGCTTCGTTCCACTTTTTTCACTCTTTATGCTAAGCTAACTGTGTTCCAATCTCATCTGATATCTTTGCAAGAACACAAATGAGCTTAGCTTTAACCTATCATGCCCACTATATATATTTGCCGTATTTCTTTAAACTAAATTATTATGTTTCTGTGTGTTTAACAGATATCCTTCGAGTTCCGCTCTTTGCTGCACTCACAGTTAGCCACCATGTTCTTCGATGAAGTGGTAAAGCAGAATGTTGCTGCATTCGAGCGGCGAGCCGGCAAGCTTTACGGCCCAGAGACTCGCATCCCACGAGAGCTGATGTTTCATGAGGTGCATCAGACGTGATCTCAGCAACTGTACGTCTTCATCTGGCCTTAAACCGTACCCTCTTTATTCCCTCAATAAACTTGCATGATGTGGCTTAGCAGGTCACTACATCAAATCTCCACTGCTTCATAGATGTTATAGCGGCTACCAAAGGTGTAGCGCATCTAACGCTTGCAAACATAATGTTGTAATTCCTGCCTTAGTAAATTTTTGCTCACATCCCTTCTCATTGTGTTACGTTTGTCCATTTTCTGTCTACCTCCAGATCCTTGTTTAGCAGAAAGAACAGTAAGTCATCGCAGCATTGTTACATTGTGCTGGACACTCAGTTATTACTTTAAACTTAAACTTCGGTTTTTCTATAAGACACAGTCCCTTTTGCCGAAGCAGTTGTCTCACTGTAACTTGAGGTTACTACTATCAAGTGAACTTCAGCTCTAATATATTGGGAAAGCACATTCTTTGCTTTTACACTTAGCATTGACTTCATTTCAAATGGAAATAGTAATATATAGTTTGAAATAAAGTACTGGTATTGCTGCAAAAATAATATTGCTTTTAGTTCTTTAATTTATTCAGCAGCACTTTTCAACCAGTTTTATAGGGGTTCATATTGACAGTGCCATGCTATAAGAGCATTATTGTAGGTTAGTATGAAGTGCAAAGGAGGAAAATTAGCTGTGGCCTCAGTATGCTAGGATTTGAGAAATGTCACTTTAACTTGGATGCTGTGAGGATTGGGCTTTAGAACGTTAAAAAAGAAAAATTAGCATAGTAGTTTTAATACTGCCTTGTTTTACAGCCCAGCACTAGTATCAGTCAGTAAAGGTGGGGAAATAAGAATTAGCACAACCAAGAACCCCTGTTGAAACTGAAAAATCTGCAGTACTGTAAAAGGTATCACAAAGAATGTAAGAAGAGTACAATGTTACACTCAAAAATTATCTTTATGATCGATTAAAAACAAAAGAAGAATTGGAAATTAAAGATGGCTTCTTGTGATTTGAATGTGGCTTATATTGTAATTGGATCAAAAATAAACATTGCCATGTTATGTGGATTCTAACTGTTAGGAGTCAGTTTAGGTTATAGTTTAAAAAATGTAGGTGTGTCCTTGCTTAGTGGGCTGTTTTGTGTTTAGATTGTTTGAAGGTGATCCGGAGGATGAAACACTCGAGTCATCTATCTATAAATTGTAGCGGTGGGCTGTAGAATAAAACATTACTTATTTATCAATGAGTTTCATGCTTATTTGTTGACATTTCGACTTATCTTTACACACATTTTGATGCATGGATATAAGTAACAAAGGCAAATATATTTGTAGCATTTATGTGTTGCATTGTCAGGACTTGACTTAAATTTAAAATCAAGCAGCCCCTTCACAGTATTCTGTGATAAAGGGCTATTAAAGGTAACTGATTGTATTTTGCTAAAGAAGTAATTTAGTGTGACCTTCTCTGTGAAAAATGTTTCATTTTGTCCAATATAAAGGTTTTTTCGTATTTTTGTGAAACTGAAGTATGTTGTTTTATTTTTGGTTAGTAAAGTGATTTGGGAATTGAGGAAAAATGAGTCATCAAAACCCAATACAGGCGTATTCAGTCTGAGAATCACTGTTACTATTTAAAAAAATAAATAAATACATTTAAAAATGGTTTGAGGTAAAATCATTGAATACCACTTTTGTGTATTATGTTGCAATTTGGCCTTTGCTTCTTTTCAAATTTTGATAGTACACAATCAAGATATGATTGAAGTATAGTTCCAGCGTCTTTTTTTTTTTTTTTCTTAGTTTAACAAAAGTATTGCATTAACTGTAGTTTTATTTAAGATGGTCCTACCATTGCCAGACTCAAAGTGGACTAACATAATTATAAATAATGTTAATGAAAATTTTGTCGTGTTTTTAACGTTGCATCACATTAGAATTCATCTTTACTCAAGTTTTTTTTTTTGTCTTTAAGTGTATTACAGAGAGTTTGTTTTCCATTGTAAGTGCCAATCCTTATTGGAAAAAAAGGGGCAGTGTAAACAGAAATATTTTCCGAATTAGCCTATTATGCTTTTCCTGATTTTCTGACATATACATATAGATTCTTATAATAGTGAATGCTCGTATTAAATATGCCAAAAATTGAACATAATGAGGTCAGCGTATGCACAAGTAATGCCTGTGAGCCAAACGCTCAGGTTCCAGGCAGGTTTTTCTACTGTCTGCACTATATGATGTCAGTGACAGTGGTTATCTCAGGCACACTGCTTGGGTTATGAGCTCAGAAGCCCCGCCCACCTGCTGTTCTAACCTCCTGTTTGTAAAGGCTGCCCAATCAGAAAGGTGGAGGAACTAAAACAGGTTATTTCAGACAGTGGATGAACTGAGGGGCTGCACCAAGCTGTAGTATAAGATGAACTGATAAATGAACTGTGACTCATGCAAAAGCTACTCTAGTACAGTCCAGATGAGCATAAAGGGTTCACTTGAAATTATTGTAACCCTTCGACCCCTCTGTACATTTCCACATCAATATTCATGCTGCAGGCGTATTAATGACCACTGGTCTTAATACAGGCAGCCTTGTATGTATAAAAGGAGATATAAATAAATATCAGTCACTTGTTGCTTCAATCAAAATTATTTTCACTGTTTTGGATTTCAGTTGCTTTTTTTTGCAAGCAGAAAATGTATCTATGTAAATATCGGTGTATTTTAAATTTGTATTTAAATAAAAAGGAGCTGTCACATTTTGCGTATGTGCTTTTTTTTAAAGATGATTGATAAAACAAAAACAAAACCGACTCCTGAAGGTATACCTGCATTAGTGCTTGAGCATTGTGTCCTTCACTTGCAGCAGCTGCGTTGTAATGCATTTAGATGACACCAGGTACCGTTTTTAGACTGAGCTTGTGTTCCAGAGGATGGCATTGAGTTGATGTCCCTTAGCACTGGTTGCCTTTGTTGCACAAGTGGAGTGGAAAGAGTGGCACAGCTCAGCTGACCAGCAAGAAACCAGAGTGGGGTGATGGTATTTGGGCCAGTTATTAATAACAGCACATAGGAGAGGTGGGCATTTGGACCATCTTCTTCTCATGATCACAGTATGGGATAAAGACTAATTGAAATTGGAGCATTACAACAGGAATCATTGATGATCATGATATTCTTAAATGAGCAGGTTTTGTATCTGGTTTTTGAATTCAAACACTTCTTTACGCTCTTGCCTAGAGCTGTATGTCTCATCGGAAAGAGAAAATTACTCAAAGTTTACAGTGTAAATACATTTTTTTTTTACATTGTGCCATCATCCTCATGTTACAAACATGACGAGAATTTACCTAACTGACCTCACCTGTCACTGTCATAAATCATTTTGAAATGGCACACACCATTGCAAGAAAAAAAAAAAGTCTGTAATCCCTTTGAAGTTATCAAGTAGCACTAATCACTCATAAAATATATATTTTTTTATCTAAAGTCACAACAGCTGACAAGTTCAACATCTTTAAACATTTATGCTTTTCATATTTTATGGTCCACACTGAATAACCACACAGTGTGAGATGGAAAAAGGTAAACCTCTGTGGAACAGCTTCTCCAAAAGGAGAAGTGAGTTTTGAGGTCAAGTGTTCCAGCTAAGGATCTCATTTTGGAAGTGTGAGTTGAAGAGGTGCCCTTCCTATAAATAAAGGCATTCAAAGTGTGTGAACTGACAAGAAGTGATGTTCTCAGTAAAGATTGCTCAGTGTGAATGGTCTTTGAATAAGGAGCATTACAGCGACACACAAAGTCCACAATAAGGGAAATTAACTGCTGTTAACAAATGGACATAAGGTTTACTAATGAATTCATTGGTTTGAAGATCATTATCTGGTTATTATAAAAATGCAAATTATGTTTATACATCTTAGTAAACTGCTAATATTTACTGTGTAAAGCATTTTCAAAAATTATTTGGATGCAAGTGTAAAGTCTAATACTTGTTTAAATAGATAATAAGTAGGTAGGTAAGGGTGTAAATCACCAGACTGAAGCTGGAGAATGCAGTTTTGGTCCTGTTATATTCACTGTTTATTACATTTGCTCCTGAATTTTAGGTACACTTGTTCAACTGCTCTTTAACCCAAATATCTAATCAGCCGATCGCATGGCAACAACTCAATTCATTTAGGCATGCATGGCATGGTCAAGATGAACTTGTGATGCTCCAGTCAAGCATCTGAATGGGGAACAAAATGAAATGTCTAAGGAGCTTGGAAACAAAAGCGTCTGGACTTCTTTTCTTTAAGTTTTGTCTTGAAGATGTTTCACCTTTCATCCGAGAAGCTTCTTCAGTTCTAAGCGCAATTGGTGGAGAGTCCCAGATTTTAAGCCCTATGGGAGTGTCCGCAAGAGGGTCATGGACCCTCTATTGATCCTCTACCTAATCACAAGGTCCAAGGTCTGAAAACGGGTGTGTCTCACAGTCAGCCAAGGTTTCAGGTGAATCCATTGTGAAACCCATCCCCACCCTATCATGTGATTTATTGAGGTCAAATTGCCCAGGATGTGAGTGGGCATTAAGGCATCAGTTAACACCTTACGGTAGTTTAACCTAACCAAGAAACTTAAAAGGTAGGAACACAACAAAGGATGTCAATATAAAAATATAGATGGCAGACAGTTGGTGTGGTGAACCACCGCCTCTGTTCAAAGATGGCCGTTCACAGTTGACATAGATGGGTTCTTTCACACCATCCTTCTGCTCTGTCCAAAATGGGAACACTGGCATCCTCCTTTAGATGCAGATGTCCTGTGGAGGTGGCTCTTCTATGTTGTGCCATGCTTTTATGAAGTGTCTGTTTGGTCTCTCCGATGTAGAGGTCTGAGCATTCCTCACTGCACTGTAGAGCATACACTACCTTGTTAAGTTAGTGTTTAGGAGTTTTGTCTTTGCAAGCTCCTTAGACTACGATGACCTGGATGACTGAGAACCTTCACAGACACTTGACAAATCTTGGATCCGACAGAATCCAGCAGCAGAAGAGCACACTGGGTGCCACTCCGGTCAGATAATAGAAAACTGAGGCTCACCATAACTGGAAAACAGTAGACTGAATGTTGGGTTGATGAATTTCCATTGCTGTTGGTATAAACAGCCTGAAAGCATGCTTCCACACTGGCTTGTATCAACCGTTCAGGCTGTTGCTGGAACCTTATGAGTGATATTTTCCTCAGCCCAGTTTAGATTCCAACTGTACCAACTGAGTATCGTTTAAACGTCAAAGACATTCACATTATAGATGTACAGCCAACAGATCAGAAGCAACTGTGTAATGCTATCATGTAAATATGGACAAAAGAAATTTCCACTATCTTGCTAAATGCCATGATGAAATAAGGCAGTAATGAAAACAAGAGTCTAACCTGGTACTAGCAGGGTGTAACTAACAGTGTCCAGTAAGTGTATAATACGGTATCTAACAAGTGCAAATTTAATTGTTAAAAAATTTTTTTTTTCCCACAGCCATTAATAATGATTGTTAACTATTATTTCAGTCCTTTTTAAATCGTGAAAGCTTAACAACTGTTAGCAATGGCTAAAAGACAACGTTTTGTGAGACTGTGTTTGTGTATTACAAGGAGGGTATAGACCATTTGGGTAATCACTTCAGAAATCCTGGTAATTTCAAAGGTTACATGCAACTGGACCTGGAATTACATCACAATTTCTTTTTCAAGCACTTATGAAGAAAATGAGACCAAACAAGTGTTAATAAAAACCTTTAATTTTCATTTATTTCTAAGGTTTTCCAATAGTTGTTTCAAGCTTTTCTTGCCCATTTGACCCATCCAGCCCTGTCCCCCCGCCCCCAAGTGTTTCTCTAATGATTCCCCCCAGTTACAACCCTTAAGCTCCTCTACGATCAAAATAACCACATCTGTTGAACAACCTGCCAAATGGAAGAACGCTACAATAAAACACAAAACACGTGCCCGAAAAAGCCAGAAGAGCAGAGCAGAGAGAATCAAGTATCGGAGCGAACACGTTAAAGAGTATTCTTAGGAGGAAATACGCAAGAACTCTAACTAGACAAAAATGGAGTGTTGAGAAACCCAGAACTTAAGAGCAAGCTTGACACATTCAAGTGAAATACCTGAAATACAGCACCAGCTGAGGAAACAGAGCTTGGGAATAAACTCTATATACAGAAGATAGCTGCAGTTGTTTTTTTTTTGTTCATTGTCAGAAAT